TGGTCAAATAGGGTCAGGATGATGAATGGCAAGCTCTAATTAATGATATTTGTTGAAATATGACCTAAGTTTGATGGGGGGTTAAACGAGGGAATTTTGAACTACAATTTGGTAGGTAGGCATAGATTAGGTTGAAGAGTCAAGTGAATGGTTCTGATCTGAGAAAGATATGGTCAATCGTGTCAGTCGTTCTGGGCCATCAGAATGGGATATTGACGTTTTTGCAGTTGATCATCGTAGATTTATGGTGGGATTCACTAATTGGTCGCTTCCTACTGATCTTGAGGTGATGGGTGTGTTGGGTTTGATTTTGGGGGAGTTAGAATTTGAATATTCTATAGCTCGGGGTTGTTAGAAAGGAAGTTAGCGTGATGAACGGTGGATCTTCGGAGTTTAGTCATGAAAAGTGATGTGTAACTAAGTTGTGGTTTTTTAAGTCTTGGGATTATGTCTAATTGGACGTTGATATTGATTTCAAGGTTCTTTTTTGTCCTATGGATTGTGTTAGAGGAGGGTATTTCAGGTTTTGCAAAGTCTCAAGTTGATTTGGTTGTGTTTTTAAGTATTTGGGGTCTAAGATGAGGGTACAAAGAGGTAGGGTGAAAGGACCGAGCAAAAATTGGGTGCTAACAACGTTGATTCTCCGAACAAGAACTTGTTTGGAGATTGTGCTTGTGGGAAGCTACTAAAATTAGTTTAGACTGAGTTGTAGATTTGTCGATGGAAGCAAAAGCCTATTCTTTTAATCTGTAACACTTCACTGTGCCAGATTTGAATGGCACAATGTTAGTTTGGTTAGTTTTTGTTACAATGTTACATTCTAAAAATTTGGAGAAAAATCAAGGGTAAAGTAATCTTTTCAATCTTTTCATTACCGGTTCTTAACAGTTATCCATTGTTAGAAATTATAGGGTACTTTAAGTGATTATGCAAATTAAATAGTAGGGTAAGTTCTTGTCTATTTGCTAAACCATAGGGGTAGTTTAAGTATTTAACCCTTCACTTTATTGTTTCTATTTGGTTGAACTTGTCTTGACTTTGAAACATATAACTTCATTTTATTACTCTCAGAGGAAGTAGGTCTTTATTCAAAAATAAAACCACATGGGTCGTTTTTTTTCTCTTTCATACTTCATTCTGCTCCTACTATTAACAAGAATATTAGTCATGCAACATTTAGAGCCTCTAGTCCAACATTGCTAAATCAAAGTTTACCCACTTACAACACAACAATGGCCTACACCTCCAAAAGTGATCACCATATAGTTCATATTTTCTTGTATCACCTAAATAACCAACTTTATCTAGTGGCTTTGAAACCTTATATAGTTTATTTATTTTATCACCAGTAACTTACATTGAAAGCTCCGAACTGCTAAACTAGTTCAATGGACAAGAACGAGAAGCCATTTTGTGACTTGCAAAAATTTGACCTTATATTGCTTTAAAAATTTGATCAGAAGCAAGAGAATTTTGTATAGTTTTAACATTTGAGGAAATGGAAAATAAGGAATTAGTCACTAACTTAGACTTGAGAAAAGAACTTGTTGCAAGGTCTGAACTATCAGCCTTTGTTGCCAAATGGTCTGCATTAACTTACTTATTAACTACATGAAGAAGAATTTGGCATGGTGTTTATTTTATACATCAATTTTGAATTAAATCTACCAGTTAAATATTTACACTCATAAATGATTATTATCCACTAACAATAACAACATCTAATCTTCCCAGTTGTAGCATTTAGACTAGAATCATCAATCCTCTAATAGGATTTAAATTTTAAACTAATAATAGGTTGATTTTCAGTGGAGTTCGATTTGTACCATAATCAATGGAGTGATGTTAGGAAAGAATATGGATTTGGTTGCAACATGCAGAAGCTTTAAGGCTTCACTAGTATTCAATTAACAGTTTATTAGGCTTCACTGGCATTTTAAACAAGAGATACAATCCAAGACAAAATGGAAGCTCAGATGAAGTTGGCTTGTCACTATAGTACCAAGTATAGATAATGTATTCAGAAGCCAAATTATGCAATGCCCCAATAGGTCCATATCAATTTTCATAAATCCATTGGGTGGTAATGATTAAGAAATGAACAGCTGTGGATGGTAACATCCATTATCTAATAGATCCATCCATACAAAGGACAGAAAAATTTTGAACTCACAAGTTTTGCTTGCAAAAGAAAAAACACAAAATGCATGAAAAATGTAGTGGCCTAATCCAAAATTCCTATTAGGACTTAGAACATAAAAAATCCTAAGCACGGCAAGAACTTTTTTGAGAAGCATTTAAGCGGATGGGAGAGTGATTCAGCTCTCTATGACCTATGATTTTAACCACAATGAAATATTCCAATAATAGAAATTTTGGTTAGGTCTGGCTTATTTTTCTTTTTCATATTTTCTTCTTGGTTAGGTCTTGATTTTTACAAAGGATTTAAGGATGAGAGTGTGTACTTGAAAATGGTTTCTTGGGTGGTTTGATCTGCTGTAGAAAGACTGGGAGGAACGAAAAAAAGTGTGAGAGAAGGAAGGAAGAAGAATAAGAAGAAGAGGAAGGGGGGAGAAATCATTGACTTGCCTCGATATAGTTTAGTTCAGTTTGGTTCTTTTCAGCTATCGAAGGAGAGAGTGACGAGAGAGGTTCAGAAACTTGAAATTGGGTAAGGGTTTGAGGGGGTTACGTGTCATTTTCGTTTTTTCTATTTAACCAGTGAGAATGGATTCCAATTCCTTGTGGGTGGATTGTAAATGTCTTGAAATGGGGGATTGCCATTCTGCTTGGATTGGGAAATGGATTCTGATTTTTCTCAAACAAATACTTTCATTCCGGTTCCAATTCTAGACCCCTATTGTTGTAAACTAAATGGATCCTAAGTATCTTATGATCAATAATGTTGTGAATAGATCTGATTATCTCATATTTGAATAATCCATTTTCTTAATTGGATTGGAATGATTTGAACTTAATTCCATTTGATCTGATTAAATATATATTGAATTAACATATAAAAGTTATAATTATATATAAAATATAAAAATATACAATCATATATAATAAATTTAATATTTCATATTTTTACTAAATTATTATATACAAGTTAAAAAAATAATTATTTCTTATTTTTAGAAAAATAAAACATAATGAATTTAATTCCGAATCCAACTAAAGTCCAAGACGATTCGAATCTGATTCCCAAATCCAATGGGATTTACAATCCAATCTGATTACAGCGCTAGTGTGTATGTAATGGAATATGGGGTGCCTGTTTTAAGGGGCTGTTTGGTACTATTCGTGTTTCAATTTTCAAGTATAAATTCTATGACATAATAAAGAGAAAGAATTGGACTTGAGAGAGAGAGAAAGAGAGATTTACTAAGATTTCAATTAATTAATCAGTTTCAGCCATTAGAACAGCCTCTTAACATCAAATAATTAATCAGTTTCAGTCCAGTCTCCGAATAGGTTTACCAAGATTTCAATTGCCACGACCTTTCCTGCCACCACCATCTCCAAAAGCTTCACCACCAATGACCTCCATTGCCCATACACAATCACCACCCATTTATTTTGCCCTTCACTCTCACCTTCTTCTCTATTTTCTTCAGCAAATATATAGAAATGAAGATTTATGAACTGTTCCTATATTTCACAACTTATAGACATCCATATTTTCTTCAGCAAATATCTACATTCTCACTGCCATCCTGTCAACCTCCAACCAGGAAAAAAGAAGAAAAAATAAGAAAAAAAAACTGAAAATGAAAACAACCAACTAACTTTCAAGTACTAGCTAGCTAGACAGATTATGTATGTATCACGTAACGGGGAAAGGCGGAAACACAACTTGAGTATCAGTAGAATCCATGGAAATACCAGCAGCCTTCAATTCACGGCCGGGACTCCTCTCCAGTTGCCGATTTCTTGATGAACTCTATACAGTCCGCAACCGCTTCGCTTTGAAACGGGTCGTGTGTGTGTGGATAATAACCTCGGTGTTCGCTGCTGACTACTGGTTTGCTATGATGGGTGGTGGGCTTATTGGAGACAGCAGACAACATGAACAAACGGAAGACAGCTTCACGGAAGCGCTCCAACAACGACATCGGTGACAACACCCGGTCGTTACTCTTGTTGTCGTCGTCGTCGTCTCTGATGGGGCTAGAGATGCAGTGCAAACTCTTCAAATTCCTTCTCTTTCCTTTCATGTTTCCTGCTTGGGGTTGTTGCATATTGTACTTGAAATCTATCCATATATATATATATGTATGATGACCGTCTTCTCCTAAGAATAAGATAATAGTATTCTCAGGCCACCACTACATACTACTTAAATAAATATTCGATGTCTAGCTTATTAGCTAGCTAATCAATAACCTGTATTGCACAAGAACGGTAAAATCTCACTGATCCAAGTAAATTTTACTTGAAAAATACGTACTCAGTAAACGCACTTAATTAATGAGATGACCCTTTTAACCAAATCATTTGGTTTCAATGTTCAAACTCACCCAGATTTGACCCAACCTTGCCTGCTAGACAAGTGGATGCAGAGATCTCTTCCCGATGGGGTGGGCCCTGAACTGCCAAAAAAATCATTAATGTGCCAGAAAATTTTGCAGGTAAATAAGGCAATTAACAGGGAACTAATTGTCCTTGGTCAACGCAAAATTATCTTCTTAAGAAATTAAGAAATTAAAAGGGTTGTGTGAAGCATTAACCAATAGCCATTAGGGTTTGGAACCGTGACAATACCCAAGCTATTATAACGATGCTGATTGGCCAAACTTAGATTATGCATGGGCTTAGTTTTTCTTTTCCTTTCTGTTTTTTTTTTCAAATATAATATCTCTATATATATATATATTTTTTTTGATTGGCGTTTCATCGGAGTCGGCGGCGTTCTGTGTACCGTGGGTGCACTGGACGCGTAAACCCGCCAATAAAATGACACGTTGATCAGACCAATGTTAACGTGCATTTGAGCGTTAACATGGTCTGGTCCGATTCACGCAGACACGAATCGGTTCTTATTCACACGAACCGGTCTGAAACACGGACAAAAGCCCCATTTCTTCGATTTCTTTCTTCCATTTCTTTCCACCGAACCCTGCCCATGCACCAAATCCTTGTCCATCAGCAGCGACAGAGCTCCGGCGGCGACGTATTCTTCTTCTCCTCTCCTCTTCTTTTTCTTCGGCTGGTCATCGCGGACTAGTCAATCATACCACTGTTGCTCCTGCAATCCTACACGTTCCTATATCATATTTTTCCCTTATCACGTCGGCGTTGTTGGTTAGTGCCACCAGTATCGGCGAAACTAAAGGCAAGTAGGTTGCTCGGTACCTGGCGATCGCAGAAAGCATTTCTTGCATATCGAGCTTCGACAGCACCACTATTGTCGATCCAGATGTCAGTAATCCCGTCGAGAACGCTGCCAGGCCGTAGATATGAAACATGGGGACCGAACAGACGAACGTGTGCGGTCCTCCCCTACTCTCTGCCTCTTCCAACTTGAAATGACCCAGAATCTTCTGAATCATTGCGATGAGGTTCCGGTGCGACAACACCATGCCCTTGCTGGCACCGGTAGTGCCAGAAGAGTAGAGCAGGGTCGCCGTGTCGTCTTGGCAGACTCGGTCCTTGACTCGGCTGTCATTAGGTTCCTTCTTCATCATGTTCTCCAAGGAAGAAACTATTTTGACTCTACTAACATTTGCCCCCGGTCCCGACTCCGAGTCGTGACCTTCTCCGATGAGAACGATAGGGAGATTCATGCCGGCGAATTTAGGGAGGAGAGAATGGGTGGTGAAGGCGAGAACTGGCTTGGAATCAGTGATCTGCTTACGAATTTCTTGGGTGGTGTTGAAGGGGTTGGTGGTAGTGATGATAGCGCCGGGGGACATGACTGAGAGACAGATCACGGGGAAGAAGATGGAATTGGGGGAGAGGAGGAGGACAACATGGCCTTTGCGGATTCCCAAGTCGGAGAGGCAGGTGGCGACGGAATCGCCCACGTCAGCGTATTTAAGTTTTTTGTCTTTTTTCTATCCGGTTCAACCGGATTCTTTAACTTAACCGCTAAAGGACCGTTAAGGTTAATAAAATTTAAATAAGCCGACGTGGGCGTTTGTAATTGGCGGGTTCACGCGTCCAGTGCACCCACGGGTGCACATAACGCGGACTCCTTCGTAAGGTGGTCTATGACTATGTTTGTTGTAGAAATAATAATTAACGATATCACATGATGACAGAAAAATAAGAAAAAGAGGAGGCCGATTACGACGAAGCCACTGTGGCACAATAGTGAAAAGAATTTTAATGAGTTTGACTCGACTCTGGACGGGTAAAAAGGATCACTTGGTTACATGTGCATGGTTAATTATAATCTTTTAATGCATTCAGGCCTTGGGCACACCTGTATTCAATTCGACCGACCAACCAGAAATTCGTTATTTAGTCTCAATGGGACTTCAAATTAAGAGTTGATCTTATTAGGGGAGAGGAGGAGGAGAGAGAAAGGCAACACACACACACAGTAGTGATGGAATAAGAATAATAATCCAGATCAGAGGGTCGGTGAGGAACGTGATATAATAACATAGTGAGTGATATGTTTGTGGGTGGAATCCTCATCTACACCACTCACGACTTAAGTTTTCTTGTGTGTTGTGTTTGTTGGATAAATTTATTATCTCGTACAGACTCAAATGGGAGTCTCGTGTAGGGAAAGGGATGGAAGGGGACGGCACCCTTTACCCACATTAATCTGACATATTATTTAGTAACCTTCTACCAAACCCCATTATCAACAAGATCATTATTTAATTAATCAAGGGCCCTACAGATTATCTTAACTGTCTAATAGAAATCTGTTGCTCAGTGACACGTGGACTGTGAATTTGTTAGAATTAGTTACCAATTTACATGGTACCGTACCTTTTCCAATAAATCTAAAATCCTGCGCTCGCTGGAATACATGGCAACCGGCAACGTTGACGTCCTTTTTGCTCCAAAATCATCATATTTCATTTATCTTTCTGATCATCCAGGTATTGATGAGCTGATTTCGTTTCTTCTCAATGGAGAGATAACTATTCAATTTGGAACAGGGCGATAAGCAATGCCTTATTTGCAAAGATCAAACTCAGTTTCATTGATGGATTCATCAAGAAATCAGATAAAACGTCATCACTAGAGTTGTTTGCATGGATAAAATGCAACTCAATGGTCATCGCCTGGCTGTTTAATTCACTTGCTCAAGATTTACATGAGAGCATAGCATATGTGGAATTTGCAGTTAATATTTAGCGAGATTTTAAAGATAAATTCTCGCAAGGAAAAGCATGACGGATCTTTCATCTCCGGCGTGAACTGGCCCTAATCAAACAAGAAAACCTATTTGTATTAGGCTATTTCACCAGATTGAAATCTTTATAGGACAAGTTATTTGTGTGTATTCCCATAAAAAAACTGAACCTGCGGCAATTGCACATGTAGAGTTGTAAGGGAATTTGCCATAGAAAAGGAACGTGAAACTGTGTATCAATTCCTTCTTGGTTTGAACGATTGTTACAATATGGTTCGTTCGAATGTCTTGAGCATGGATCCACTACCTAGTGTCAATCAAGTGTATGCTTTAGTGATGCAAGAAAAGCGACACCAAATCTTCGTTAATTAACGATCTCCTTAGATCGAAGCGACATATTTTGTTAGGCAACTAAGATTTTCTCCACGAGCCACCAAATGCATATTTCTTGGATATCCACATGCTAAGAAATGCTTTTGGGTTTATGATTTGCACACCAAACAAATATTTGTCTCGTAATGTTAAATTTTATGAAAATTGGTTTCCTTTTCTTAAGGATGATAGTTTAACTGATTTGAATATGCCCAACATGGTTGTTCCCCCAAATCCTAACCATTTTTTTTTTGGATAATAGCCAACTTCCTCATACATTTACTGAACCTACAACTTAGTCCTGTAATGAGAACACCACTCAACCCATTCTAGACCCACCTAAATCACCTCAACATGTTTTAAGATCACCTGAATTCACTTGGTCAAACCCTAGAGCCACTAGGACCACTTGAGTTCCCAAAATTTTCAAGGCTTTATTTGCCCTACTTTACCAACCACCAATCTTTCTACAGCCAATTCGTTGACAGGCCTTGTTGAACAGCACCCATCTGCCTTTGCTACTTCCCTACTACACACCACTAAACTTCGTCTATACACTTAAGTTGTTAGAGATCCAAAGTGGTGTCAAGCAATGAATGATGAGCTTGAAGCTCTTAACCGCAATCATATTTGGGACTTGGCCCAATTACCTCTAGGTAAATAACCCATAGGATGCAAATGGGTGTATAAAGTCAAGCTCAAGCCCGATGACTCTACAGAATGGTACAAGGCTAGGCTTGTAGCAAAGAGCTACACTCAAACTGAAGGCATTTACTACAATGAAACATATGCTCTCATGGAGACTTATATATGCGCCATTGTAGTGGTTCGCAAGTGGAAGTTCTATCAAATGGATGTAAATAATGCGTTCCTACATGGAGACTTACATGAAAAATTTTATATGCTCCTCCTAAATTACTCAAGGATGGTGATACCCGAGTGTGCAAACTCCAACACTCTCTTTATGTTCTTAAGCAAGCTTTAAGACAATGGTTTGAGAAACTTGTAGCTGCACTGCGAAGACATGGTTTTTGAGCCTTAAATGCTGATTTCACTTTATTCACCTTATCTAGTCCAAACAACTTCCTTGTTGTCTTTATATATGTATATGATCTTGTCATTACTGGCAATGACCCTAGCCAAATCTATGCTCTAAAAGACTACTTGGGCTCATGTTTTCACATAAAAGATCTAGGGCCACTCACTCATTTTTTGGGAATTGAGGTATTACGATCTAAAATTGGCATACACCTCTGCCAAAGGAAATACACTTTGGATATTCTTCAAGATACTAGCATGACTAGATTCAAGCCCAACCCATTCCCAACGCTACAACAACAACACCTTGCTTTAGCTATGGGCCTTTGCTCCAAGATACAGCCCAGAATAGAAGATTGATTGGACATCTAGTCTATTTGCAAGTTACAAGACCTGACATAACATTTACTATCAATATGCTCATACAATTCATGAGTGCACTTCGGCAAGAACATTTGGATGTTGCATTCCACATTCTCATATATTTGAAAGCTACAATTTTATATGGCATATTGTTATCTGCATCAAGTGATTTAACTCTTTGAGCTTACTGCGATTCAGATTGGGCCTATTGCCCAATAGCTCGACGTTCAACCATTGGCTATATCACAATGTTGGGTAGTTCTCCATTATCCTAGAAGTCCAAGAAGCAGAATACTGTCACAAGGTCCTCAACAGAGGTCAGTGGAGTATCACGCCATGACTGTTGTAACAAGTGAACTTCTTTGGCTGAAACAACTCTTTCTTGACATTGGGCTTTCTCACTATGGAATTGTACTATGCTGCCTTGCATATAGCAGCCAATCCAGTATTCCATGAAAGGACCAAACACATCGAGATTGATTGTCATTTTGTGTGAAATCTCAGTTTCATAGAATCGCCACTTGTCATGTATCTTTCACGATTCAACCAGCTGATATTTATACTAAGGCCCTTGGTCGTGATCAGATTCACTCCTTATTATCCAAATTGGGCATGTTTCTTTCACCCTCCAATCCATGTCTAACAGAATCTGTTGCACAGTTACACATGGATTGTGAATTTGTTAGAATTAGTTACAGCCTATCAAAATGTATAGATGGTTGCTTGTACATGCAGTCTGTCCTATAAATATTTATTGTGAATCTCATGTGAGACACCATTTTCTTCTCTCCCAAATACTCTGTTTTCTGTACCAATCTACAGATTAAAACAATTTCAGCTCAGTCTAACCCATCCAATGGCTCTAAACCTTTACTCCAACTATGCCCTGTATTTCCACTTTCTAGTAGTACGTGGCATCATTAACAAAATAAATCCAATAGCAAGGAAACTACTGTTTGATAAATCCCTCCGTCATCCAAGCATTTCTTATTGTTATAAATGAACACCCTCACTAAGTACAGGCTTGGTATTCTAATTAATTTTGTTTGATGCCAATTATTTATATTGTAAATTTAAGATGGTTTTTTTTATTTGATATATAATTTTGTATTTAATTTAAGTGATCAAATCATATTTAATTTATAAAAATAACTCATTTTATGGTAGGGGTGTGCAAGTTGGGTAATCGATTTAAAAATGCTACACTGCATCGGGTTGGGCCTATTGAAAATTTAACAAAATCCCAACTCAAGCTTTTCCAAGTTGCACTCCTATTTTATGGACTTTACATCATTTAAAATGAGCTTTTTAGTGGAGGTAATTATCATCCATTTTGCAACCTTACCATAAATAATGAAGTATTCTTCATGTTAGATATAAAATGTGGTGTGAATATATCAAATTAAATCATCTGTGGTATGCCATATCAAACTAAATCACCTGTAGTGTGGCCATACCAAAATAAATCACTGGTGGTGTGCCCAAATCATTTTTGTGTCAAAAGTCAAAGCATTTTATGATGTTTCCCGTGGAGTCATAACATCATAAGGGGAAGTAAAACCAATGGGGAAAGAGTGTCGTCAACGGGGCAAAAGAAAATTGAAATTATTATTTATTATCATAATTAATAATTATTATACCGTCTTGTATACTGTACATAAGTTAATAATTGAATCACCCATTATGTCTATCTAATCAAACATTAAAGGCCTTTTTATGGAAATTTATGCCAAAAGAGTATATTAGAGTGAAATGGTCAGTATGCAATGTTTGTATTCTTTGACTTTGACACTAGAACTAAAATGACTTCTTTTCATTTCAATTTTAATTAGCCTCTCACATTTTCTTACTTAACCTGTATTTGTCAGAACCATTATTATAATACTTTCTTTAGGAGAAATTAGATAAAAAATTGCTAATAAAGTAATAAAACTTTTCTAGAGTATAGGTGTAAGTAGCGAACCCCATTTTTTTCTTTCTTTTTTATTTCTGACCCCAATGAGCCCCACTTTCCTCTTCTCCTTTCTTTTCTCTCTTTTTCCCCACCACTCCCTCTCCTCTCCCTATTTCCTCCCTTTCATTCTCCCTCTCTTTTTCACCGTATCTTCTCTCTTTTTTTTTTTTTTCTTATTTTAATTTCCGTCTTGCTTACTATTTTTGCTTCCCTCTCCCCAACGTCTTTTGACAACCCTCTCAAGTTTCAAAGATATCGTATCGTATCTTTGAAAAATCAATACAGGATACGCATGAATATCGGATGTTTCGTCTTTTCTCATCCGTATCGGAGGCGTATCGGGGTGTATTGGTAGTGTATTGACGAAAAGATATGGCCAAAAACTAAAAAAAAAAAAATAAAGGGGGAAAGCGAGCTTATTTTTCCCAAAATAAGCCTTCTTTCACCTCCCAAATTATTCTAAAACTCCAACCTTCATTCATAGAGTACTAGATATGCAAAGGTTTGCAAGAAACAAGTATGAATTGTTAATTTTTTTTAACAGATTTTTTAAAATTTGAAAATATGGCAAAAATAGGTAAATTTTTTCCATCTTTCATAATATCTTGTGATTTCTTTTTTTTTTCTTGAATGTTTAAATTTATGTTGATCTACATTTCTTATATTTAAAATCACATTTTTTTTGTGTTATCAGTAAATTTATGGAAATTTCATGAAGATATTAGGGAAAAATATAAATTAACAAAAAACTTGAAAATGTATTTTTTTTCTCTACCTATAAAGACTAAATATGTTTTATATTTTAATTTGATAATTATTTATAATTTTTGGAAATTATTAATAAATAATAAATAATTATTAATTATATTTTCACATAGAAGTTGTGTCAATCCATGTTTTATGGTTGGATAGGAGAGTTGGGTTTTTCTCATCCCATAAAATATTAAAACTTAAGAATTATAATTTATAAATTATAGTTAAGCATAGGGTTTTTAA